TCTCCAAGCACCTCCACATGTCCAGCTGTCCAGAAGCTGACCAAGTCCTGTCCTTTGGGGTTAATACAGAGGCTTCATTATTAAGCCATGGTAAATCACCTGACATTGGGGACTAAATTGACCTTCATGCTCTCTGCTCCTTCCCAAAGACTGGGGCTGGGGTGCGGCATGTACTGCCTGGATCTTTCCGTGAGCTACTCAGGGAAGCAGCCCTCAGCTAGTCGTTAGCATAAAAAGGCACTGTTGCTTTGAAGGGTCTCTGGATTTTAAGAGTATTTTCCAGGAACCAGACATGTATAACAAATGCAACATGACAAGGTCTGGTTACTGATCTACCCCAGCTCAGACGGCAGCTTTTGGAAGTCAAGTTCTAGATCCCAAGAAGTCAAAGTAGACCCAGAAGCCTTGCAGGAAATGGCATGGACGGGGCTCCTTTCCTTCCTCAGGTTTCTGTGTGGACCCTCAACCGTGCATTCCTTCCAGATTCTCAACCATCGCCCTCCCCTTCTCCTCTGAGACGGCTCCATCGGGCCCTCACACATAGCTATTCATCCGCTTCCCAGCTCCTTAGCCTAGGGCAGAAACTGCTGGAAGGTTCTCTGCCATGCAAAGGCTAAGCAGGCCCAAACCCCATGACCTGGGCCCTCTGACTCCACAGTCTTGGTGTGAAAGACCATGGGTATCCGCATGGCTCCTGCTTGCTTGTTTGGTGGGAAAAGCTGCCCAGCTCCTGAGGGGTGCCCCAGCTCGCTCCTGGACTGCTTCTCCCCAGGGGAACAGGTCTTTGCCCCTAGACTATGGAACACCACTCAGGCTTCACATGGCTCCTGGGTGTCCTTTACCCTCCCTCAGATTGCAGCTCTTTAGGAATAACGACTGTCTCTTTATTGCGCATTTGGCAGGGTTAGGCATTGAAGCCTGGGGTCCTCCAAAGATGGGTTCATAGAACACTGACTCTCCATGCCCTCAGCCTATATCCTGGCGTGGAGGTGTTCTGGCATAGGCTGAGTGATGTCACCTGAGAATCATCCCCTCCCTAGGGCTTAGGTTTAGACCCTTGTCCTAAAAGGGGGCCATAGCCTGCGTGAGCACCCACCCCTGCTCTCAGATGTCCCGATTGATCATGGACATGAGCGATCATGAGAGCGAACCCAGCTGAAGCTAAGATGTTCTCACAGAGTAGCTGCTCAGGACTGCTGGGATCCATGGGTCTGCATCTCTGGCAGTGGCTTTTCTCGAGGGGAAAGGGAACAGGGAGGGGAGGCAAAACTTAGGGGCTGTGGACCTGGGTTCCTCCAGATTTAAGAGATCAATCTGAGCTTACCAGATTCCATGCCCTGTTCTGTGGATCTGTCCTAGCAAGAGTAAAAGCCTGTGACCATGGGGCTGATTCTCAAGGGGGTCCAGAGCCCAGAAACGTGTGTGCACACACAAACTATATAAAAGTGGGCTATGAAAAAAAACTAAAAAAATAAAGCCCCCACCACCGCCTTTCGTTCAGAATCTGTCCTAACAGATTCACCCAAGCTGGTTAACGGTATTTGCGGTTTTCAAGACGCTACATGTCCCGAGAAAATGACAGACAAGTTATTATCACCTCCCTACTGTCCTCCTGCCCAAACCTGCCTGTGCCGGGCACCCAGCTGCCTGGAGCGGGTGCGAGGAAATTAACAGCCCTGTGCCGCGCCCGCCCCCGCCCGCCCTCTCACCCACCACCCGGCACCAGCCCTGCCAGGCTAGGGGCTTCCAGCCAGGCGGGGACCATAGTGGACTGGGGTGGGAGCAGGGAGGGAGTGAAGGAGGAGGGTTCGGGAGAGGAGTGCGGCGGGAGGGACGTCTGCTCTGCCCCGATGTTGGGCAAAGTATTTCCTGCAAGCCCCACGGAACACACGCATCCGCGCAGGCAAGTCTGGACGGCTCTGTGTCAACAGCCGAAGATAAATAAGATTTTATCAGCTCGGAATCTGTTGAAACACATCCATCTAGCGGTTCTAGGGATGGAGAGGCAGGAGGAGGGCAGCAGGGAGGAAGCCTTCTCACGTGACACTCTAGAAAAGAGATATCTACCCTCCTGCCCCTTCTTCAGAGTCTGACCCTGAGGACTGACCCCACAAACTCTGCCCAGGAAGGGGAGCACTGGTGACCTCCTGGTCTTAGGACTTGAGTATCCTGGAGTCTTTCCCGGAGGCCACTAGTTTTACCGTCTGGCCCTCCGGGGCGTGTGGAAGCCTCAACACCCCACCCTGGAACTCCCTACTCCTGGCTAAAATAGATACCCACAGATTTAACCTGTGTCCAGTGCAGGGTTAGTGAGTGTGTGTACGCCCCAACGCCTCAAAAACCATTGTTTTTAACCTAATAGCGATGCCACCTGAGGGTGCAAAAGTGAGGTGAGGTCTTTGCCTTGCCCTAGGGAGAAGGGCCTCTTGTAGCTTCGTCCCTGAATGTAGGCTTCCCGTCCACACTGGCTCCGTGGGAGACTTGCCCCACCAGAGGTGACTTGACACCAGCTGGTTCTTTCTCTGAGAGGTTATCATGCGGCAGCCGCTGCCTTGGTACCAGGGACAGCTCCTGGCACTTTGAGCTCCTCCCCAGGGAGGGGCATCCATGGCTAGTCCCTTCCCAGCCCTGCTACTCTGAAAGGTTCCCTAGCTTTCTCCAGATTACCCCCTCCTCCCGCCAGGGTCCCACTGTAAGCCATGGAGGGCAGTACCACCTCACACCCATCCCGGGACACCCATAGGTACAAAAGCCCCCTTCTGAGGAGGAGGGTCAGGTCTCAGCTACCTCTGGCCACACCTTGGCAATGACGGTGCATGGCTTGGGGGCGTAGATTCTCAGAGGGCAGTGTTGGGGGAGGGCAACAGTGACCTGCAGGGCTGGGGCAGGGCTCCAGGGATGGTTGGGCACTGTGGTAAGGCACTGCTCAGGAGTAAGTGGTTGAAGGGAGCCCTGATGCCTCCCTCCGTGGCTGGGCTGTGCCGAGCCTGGCTCCATCCTGATAGGAGCACAGGGATGAGCCTAATGCACAGTCCCTCCCTCCAGGCATGTTTGGGCTGCCCAGGAATGTGGCCTAAGGCACCACCATACCTGTCCTGCTCTCTGCCCATCCTGGCTCAGGCCCCCGTGGGTCTATGAACCCTTCTCGGGTCATGAGCATGGGAGAGGAAGGTAGTCAGCTCGGAAAAGGTGCTTGTAGGAACTCCCAGGTCCGTATGCCTATCAGCTGTACCAACTCACCTATCACCTCACCTGGTAGTGAGAGCGGCCATGCTGGAACACGAAGCGTCTGACTTTGCTGGCACTCTGCCACATTGCTGGCATCTGGGGGTCTTGTGGTAAGTCAGTGGTAGGCAAACCTGACAGGTGGTTCTGTGGTTAGGGCAATCCAGCCCACATTCCTGAACCAGAACAGGGGACTTCAAAGGCTAGCTATAAACCTCTTTTTGCTGCTCCTGGTGACTTTGACCCCAGTTCCACCCCCAACCCTCAGTCTATTTTCTTTAAGTAGCCTAGGCCTCTGCAGTGGGCAGACAACGGTCACTCAGCCATTGCTTGTTAATGACGGATATCCCTTCACCAGGAAAGTGCCTTGGTTAGCCTCAGGTAAAGCCCCTATGAGTTCAGGACTGGCTCGGTCCTCCCTTCCTGACAGGAGATCAATCACAATTGTCTGAGTCAGGGCCTTGTTGGGAAGCCTTCATTTGTGAATCAGAGGTCTGGGCACTCCACTGGTACCAACTGTTTGCCTGGTACTGTGTATGAATTTACTTAATGCTTTGGGATCCCCACACTGTGAACTTTATGTCACCCCAGAAAGTCAAACTGGCCCCGAGCTGCTGCTTTGAGAAGGCTCCTTTGACTAGAATTTTTTTTTTCTCAAATGCTTTTCAAAACAAGCTCTCAGGACTTCTGCAGGGTCCTGATAGTGAGCCTCTCTTGCTCTTTAAAGAGGATGGAAGGGACCTACTTCATGGTACCTCTTCCCACCTCCCCTTCCTTGCATTTGCCCATCGTATATGATATTTTGGTAAGCTTCTTATTGGAAAACTTGAGCCTATGGGATTGGGGTGGTCGGGATCCTCCACTGTCCCTTGCAAAGGAAAGACTCTTAGTATGTGAGCATCACCTGCTCTTCCCGGTTTTGTGACAACTCTTCATCTTTAGCCTCGGTTTCCCCAACTGTCACAATGGAGCATGGTAAACATTTTCCAGGTTGACATAACTCATGAATCTAAGTCAATGGGGGCTTTAGAGAGAACAGAGCGCCATAAAAGTCCCCTCTAAACCCAAGGGTCTGGGAATCGCCACTGCCCCTGGGGAGGAAGGTGTGAGGAGTCTCCAGGGGTTTCAGGAGTGTGAGGAAAGGCCAGCTAGCATATACATAAATGGACATGACTGAAGTGGCCTCATTAGGGCCAGTTCGGCCCTTAGATGGGTGACCTGGGCCCCAGGATGGTTGGAGGAATGGCAGCATGACCTTGCCGCCCTGGCATGATCTCGGGTCCAGTAAGGTTCTAGGGTGGGGAAACCGAGTCTTGCCTCACACAACTGTCGACCTTGGCTACCTGGACTCAGTGGCTTTTGTTGGTGGAACAGTGCCGGCATGACAGGTCACCCTGCAAGGCCGTGCTGGCCCAGAGAGTGGAAGACGTAAGCCATCTACCTACAGAGTGTTTCTTCTGTGCGAGGCAGCAAAATGCAATTGTGGGCTTGTCAAGCAAGCTCAACGCTCCAGATCCTACCTCTGCAGCCGGGCCTGAGAGCTCGGCTGGGGAAACGACGGAGACTGATCCCCATGTCCTCCCGTACGTTCCCGCCCTTGTTCCTTGTCCACCACTTGCAGCCTCTGGGATTCAGGTTGCTGAGTGGGCAGCAGGCATAGCCATCTCTGTATTTTGGGGGAGCAGGCCTTATCAGGGTGACTGGGAAAGGAGTCTTGTGGAAAGCGCCCAGGCCAGACAAGCATTCGGAGCTGGGCTGTGATCTCTTCCTTCCAGTACTCTCCACTTTTGAAGAAGTTGTATTGTCAGATTGCCAAGACGTGCCCTATCCAGATCAAGGTGTCCACGCCGCCACCCCCGGGCACGGCCATCAGGGCCATGCCCGTCTACAAGAAGGCAGAGCATGTGACCGACATCGTTAAACGCTGCCCCAACCACGAGCTTGGCAGGGACTTCAATGAAGGTGAGCACCCCCTCTCCATTGTGGGTCCCCAACCTCTACAGCACCATGGCCAGTGGCCTGAGGGCCCAACTGAAGGGAAACGGGGCCAGCAGTGCAACAGAGAGATGCAGGCCAATGAGTGGGCCGGTGATGCTCTTAGTGGCTCCCTCATCAGGAACTTTGAGCAGGAACTCCGCCCCATGCCTCCCAGTCCATTTCCTCAGCGCTGACTGCAGCCTCAAAGGCTGATGTTCCAGCAGGAGTGTAGCTTGGGAGAAGCCTGAGGGAGCAGTGGACCTTGGGGAGCCTTGTAGAGCATTCCTGCAGTGTTCCTGGTGAAGCCCATGACACCCCCAAGGTCAGAAGATCTAGGAACAGCATCTGCCAGGCTCAAGGCCACCTGAATGAGCCCCCTCTGGGACTTTCACGGGGACAAGCCCTATGGTCTCAGTTCTGCCATGCACCTGGTACGGGGTGACAGGTTGGAGGATGTACTGCTCTCTAAAGCTATGTCCCCTCCTGGCAGGACAGTCTGCCCCGGCTAGCCACCTCATCCGAGTAGAAGGCAACAACCTCTCCCAGTATGTGGATGACCCTGTCACCGGAAGGCAAAGTGTGGTTGTACCCTATGAACCCCCACAGGTAGGCCGGGGGCCAGACAGGGGTACAAAACCAACCTTACAGGGTGGGTTTCCTGGGGCCACTGCTCTGAGTTCAGCCTGCCTGAACTCCAGGGCCTTTTCTTGGCTATCCATTTGTGACCACATACTGTGTGATATGACCCTCAGACCTCTCTCTCTCTCTCTCTCTCTCTCTCTCTCTCTCTCTCTCTCTCTCCTCTCTCTCTCTCTCTCACACACACACACACACACACTATCCCTAGCTGTATATCAAGGAATGGTCACATGACCTCTAAGCTTTCAGCCCTTCCCTACTAGGAGAGTCTAGTCTTGTCTGTTTCTCCCAATGCCAGCACGGCTTCCTAGACACTCCTAGAATGAGGAGTGAGAAAGAGTTCCCGGACATCTCAGCCTCCATCGGCAAGGACAAAACCAAGCCAACAAGCATAGGGTGTTGGATGGAGGGTAGGGAATTCCATGCTGGGAGCTGGGGTCATGAAAGGTCCCTAGACTAGGCTGGGGATCACAGGAGATGATAAAGGGAACTGGAGCTGTGGAATGTGGGCTCAGGAGAGCAGGAAAGATGGTGAGGGACGAGACTAAGAGGCCTGTGTGCAGAGCCTCGAAAGTGGGGTGCGAGCTGGAGGTGGCGTGTAGCAGAGGTAAATGGCACAGGCTAGATATGGGGTACAGGGTGGATGTGGAGGCTCAGGCTGGACGTAAGTGAGGGATGCAGGCTGGAAGTGGTGGCTGCAAAAAGCAGTCAAATGAAGAAAGACTGGAGGAGGCGGGTGTTGACTTTTGGCAGCAGGAGGGTATGTGATCACCATTCTAGATCTGAAATGAGGCCCAGCTGGGGCCAAAGGCCAAAGTGGAGGGAAGTTGCTCTACAGGAACGATGGCCTTTGGCACCAGGGTGGAGACTCAGAGGAGGACTGTAGATGGTCAGGTCTCATGCTGTGCTGGTATGAGGCCTCCCCATCCTCTGCCAGGCCCCGTGGTCCTCTGAGGAAGCTGTTGTATAAGGACAGGGCCAGGGGTGGGCATGCTCACACCAGCATCCTCCGCTATCCTCACAGGAGGTCGCCGAGCAGCCTTGCAAACAAAGTGGGATTCTCCTGCCCTCTAGTGGTGGCCAGGTGCAAGTTCTGGGAAGGGCTGGCATTTGTGGCTTTGGTGTCCTGACCTAGCAAGACCAGGGAACTTCCTCCATTCTGGGGATGGAGTCCCTTTCAGTCTTCTGCTCAGCCGAGCCCAGAGCATGCAGCAAACACGTGACACACGCGCGCGCGCGCACACACACACACACACACACACACACACACACACGGCCTTAAGATTTGACCTCCATCTGTATTATGGCTGAGGCAATTGCACCATAGACTCTGCACTTCCCAAGCTCTGTGATCCCAGAGCCAGCACAGTGTTATGAGGGCACGAATGGACCCGTGGCTGGGTAGGCAATCTCAAGTGACTGGATGGATGTGTGGATGGAAGGGTGGGTGGGTAGGGTAGTGGGGAGTCAGGCCAGTGAGGGGGTGATGAACGGGAGGGTGGGTAGGCAGGAATGTAAGTGGGTGGATAGATGGATGGATGGGTAAGCAAACGGATGGGCAGGTGGATGGGCAGACGAATGGTGAGAAGTTGGCGGGCAAGGGAATGGGGTAGGTGTATGGGTGAGTGGGCGGGTGGGTAGGTAGATGGCTGGATATGTGGATGATGGGCAGGCAAGTAAGTGGATGGATGGGTGGATGGATGGACGGATGGATGGATGGATGGATGGATGGATGGATGGATAGGTGGATGGATGGATGGATGGATGGGTGGATGGATGGGTGGATGGATGGATGATGGATGGATGGATGGATGGGTGGATGGATGGATGGGTGGATGGATGGGTGGATGGATGGATGATGGATGGGTGGGTGGATGGATGATGGATGGGTGGATGGATGGATGGGTAGATGGATGGACGGATGATGGATGGATGATAGATGATGCAGAGAGATGGATGGATGAGTGCACAGACAAGATTAATAGATGGTGGAAGGTTGTGCGGATAGGTGGGTAGATGACAGAGAACCATAGTGCATCACTCCTATGCCTATCTAGAACCAGGGCCAGACGTGGCCGCTAGAAGTCCCTTCTCCAGTCGGCTGGCTCTGCATACTGACACCAAGCCCTCTCCCTGCCTCCCCTGTGCACAGGTGGGGACAGAATTCACCACCATCCTGTACAACTTCATGTGTAACAGCAGCTGTGTAGGGGGCATGAACCGGAGGCCCATCCTCGTTATCATCACCTTGGAGACCCGGGAGTGAGTCTGCGGTGCCAGGATGGTAGGGGTGGGGTCTGGACATGATCAGGAGTGGTTCTCTGAGCTCACCATTCTGCTGCACCCACCCTACAGTGGACAGGTTCTGGGCCGCCGGTCTTTCGAGGGTCGCATCTGTGCCTGCCCTGGCCGTGACCGCAAGGCCGATGAAGATCACTTCCGGGAGCAGCAGGCCCTCAACGAGAGCACCACAAAGAATGGCGCTGCCAGTAAACGTGGTACATGGTGCTCTGAGCCAGGGTGGAGGGCGGGTCGTCCCTCAGGATGGAGTTGGGTGTGCTGGGTGTGAGCTGGCATGCCACCGCAGAAGGAGACCAAGACACTAAGCATGCTCACATCTGTGGAATGGGTCCGGGTCTCAGTGGCCTGGGCCTAGAGGCCTCTCTGGCTGAACAGGGCAAATGCAACCCAAGCCAACCCAAGACAGTTCCTTTCTCTCTATGCTCGAAGGCCAGGGCCAGGCGACTCTGGGCCCAGCTCCATCTGGCCTAGGCTTGCACTGTACCAATGCTCCACCCGTGGCAGGTGTTCACCTGGGCACTTTTGCCCTCTGGCTCACGCGTCTTTCCTGACTTGCTTCCCAGCGTTCAAGCAGAGCCCTCCCGCCATCCCTGCCCTGGGCGCTAACGTGAAGAAGAGGCGGCACGGGGATGAGGACATGTTCTACATGCATGTGAGTGACTATCAGAGTGAGCTGGGGAGGAGAAGGCCTGGGGGTGCCCCTTACCCGAGAGCCCAGGTGGGCGAATTCCAGATGCTGCAGAGATGGGCAAGGGTGGCATCTAGGCAACCGGGGTGGAGACTATGGCTCTGGAGGAGATGGGGTTCGAAGGAGGCTCTGCTCAGAGCCAGACCTGCTTCAGTGCCTGAACTCAGTGAGCGTGAAGATGCCAGCCAGGTTAGCTCTGCATCCAAGAGACCCCCATAGTGGAGATTCAGTAGGAATCCATGATCCTGCAGGGCATAGCCTATGTTTATGTGACTCAGTGAACACTGGATAGTGGCAAGGTCACAGTGGGGTCTCAAAGAACGCTTTCTATTTCCTTGAGCATGGGTCCTGTTCTAAGACCTATAGCTGCCTGGTGGGAAGAGGAAGAGGAGAGCTTCTTAGTGGGAAGATTGGGCATGGTTCTCTGAACTCCTGCAAACCTTCTTCCTACATCTGCCCCTGGGCGGAGGAAAGAAAGCCATGTTGTCCTGAGCTCTGGAGTGCAAGGGCACCCTGAGAGAAGAGCTACACTCTGCCACAAACCTGGGGTCCCTCCTAAGGCTTCGGCTGCCCCCTCCCACCTGGGGCGTGGAGCCAGGGGAGGCTCCTGGGCACCTGGGCAGAGGGTCTGCCTCTCTGTGCTCAGGTGCGAGGCCGGGAGAACTTTGAGATCTTGATGAAAGTCAAGGAGAGCCTCGAACTGATGGAACTTGTACCTCAGCCTCTGGTCGACTCCTACCGACAGCAGCAGCAGCAGCAGCTCCTACAGAGGCCGTGAGTGAACCCCACCTTCTGGATAGGGAAGTGTGATATCCTGACCCAGCAGTGAGAAGGCCAGGAGGTATGGCGCACAGTGGAACCAAGGCAGCTCAGTGCTCAGCTGACATCTTCCCCAGGAACTTAGCCTTCTGGGACTTAGCCCTCACCCTCACCACACCTCTGCCTCCCATGGGCCTTGTAAATGTTGATCAGGAATGGGCAGGCAGGGTTGGCTTTGCTGGTGAGGAATTAATCTTCCTGGTAGCTCTCCGAGAGGTGGGGTCTTCATCTACCTGCCTCCAGGGATGTCCTCAGAAGTGCCAGGTGAGGAAGGAGTTGCTTTTACCTCTTAGGGACATGTGCTTTTGTTCTCAAACAGGAGTCACCTGCAGCCTTCATCCTATGGGCCCGTCCTCTCCCCGATAAACAAGGTACACGGCGGCGTCAACAAGCTGCCCTCCGTCAACCAGCTGGTGGGCCAGCCTCCACCACACAGCTCGGCAGCTGGGCCCAACCTGGGACCCATGGGTGAGTCCCTAGAGCAGTGGACACCTCGTGTGGGCCGCAGAGACCCAAGGTGGGGGTTGGATTTACCAGGTCATAAACAGGACTGGTGGGGGACTCTTGACAGCTGCTTTCCCTGCCGCTCCAGCCTGGAGAATGGCCATAGGGAGGTTGGCTATCTTCATTCCAGTCCCAGGAGTTCTGTGTCTGGGGATTTGCAGAAGTGGTATAGTTAATAACACATGCCTGGCTTGTCCTTCCTCTTGAGGATGATCCCTAGTTTTGCTCTGTCTGCCTCAGTTTCTCCAACAGCAAAATGGCAACACCAAGTTCCCTCATTTTTAGGATTATAGCTCATGAGGCCTCACGGTGGGGGGTAGCTGTAGAGCTGGGCAGACTGGAATGTGGGTCTCTTCTGTAAGGCCTTTACATGGACACCAATGGTCACGCTCCTGGCAATACGCCCAGGGATGTCCCACATAAGGGCCCTGGGACCTGGTAATACCCATATGCCAGCTGCTAATTCCTGCTCATTTAAACTAAGTTCCCTGTACACAGCCACGTCCCACTTCCACCTCTTGAGGAAAAGAGTTGGGCCTACGGGTTCAGCCCTTGCTCAGCCTCAGACAGCCCTTACCAGGCTGGATCCTAACCTGGGACACCTCCCACCGCGTGTGGAGCTGCTCTCAGATTCCTCGACCGTTCTTTTGCCCAGGTTCCGGGATGCTCAACAGTCACAGCCACACCATGACGGCCAACGGTGAGATGAACGGTGGCCACAGCTCCCAGACCATGGTTTCAGGATCGCACTGCACCCCGCCACCCCCCTATCACGCAGACCCAAGCCTCGTCAGGTGTGTGGGCTGTGTCCGGACTTGGGTTTGTGCTGTACCCCCTCTTCCTCACCTGCTACTAATTGTGGGTCCCTGCTCTGGAGGAGCAGCCTTGCTTGTGGCTCTGTTTTACTCTGTGTTTTAATTGCTTGGCTGTCCCCAAAGGAAGACATGCTAAGATGGTTGGGTCATGTAAGGGCTCATCAGCAGGTGTTGGCACAAAACCTTAGAACGAAGGGCACTTGAGCCAGGACTCCTAGGCTGACACACTGATGGCTGGCCACACCTGCTTCAAGGGACCGGCGGCTTTGCCACTGCAACGGACAGATCCCTCCCTAGCAAGACCGCTTACTCCGGGGAGACCTGAACACACAGTCTAGCACTGGGAGTTAACGCCACCTTCTCAAATTCTCTCTGCAGTTTTTTAACAGGATTGGGGTGTCCAAACTGCATCGAATGCTTCACCTCCCAAGGGTTACAGAGCATCTACCACCTGCAGAACCTCACCATAGAGGTAAACCCCGGCAGACCTCCCCAAAGGGATGGAGGGCCTGGCCCAAGGCAGAGTGCGTTATTTAGGGTAGCAAGCAGGGGAACTCCCATAGCCTTTCCCACAAACACTCAGGTTCTGGTTTTTAGAAGCCAAAACAGGCTCGGGTGACTTGAAGGAGGCTGGGTAGACATGTGCCCTGGTCCCTGGAGGTGGCCTGGAGGGCTTTCTCTTTTGTTAAAGCACCCCAGCAAGACTATCTTTAATTTGGGGGGCTGGGATTTTCCTAGGACCCAATGGTTAGAAAGTGCAGGAGCCAGGAGGGAACAGGTCCAGAAAGAATAAACGGGGCCCAAAGACCAGCCTACACACACAGCACAGAACATTCTGGGTTGAATGTGGACTAGAAGGGTGCTGGACATCAAGACTGGAGCCCCAGCATCTGAGTACAGCCCAGTAACACAGCCAGCCTGATTTGTCCATTGGACGCAGCCTCAGGGCCTGGGAGGGGGCATCACCTCAGACCCTCCTGCCCCTCCTGTAACTATTTCCTAGACTTCTGCCTAAGTTAGAGGCCAGTCCATATCTGTCGCCCGCCCAGGGTCCCAGGCTGGATACAGAGACTTATCAGAGGCAGGCGGTGAGGCAGGTGCCTAATGACCCCGCATCTATGTGACCACTAACTGCTTTCCTTCTATCTAGAGTCACATATTAACCCTTGCCTCACTAGTGAGACTCATGCGCTTGAAGCCAAGGGATGAGCCTGGAGCTGCTGCCAGCTAATGGGTGCCAAGGGGCAGCCTGAGGCCAGGAGGCAGGTGGTCTCTTAGGCCCCCATCTCTGTTCTCACTGTGATCCAGGTTCCAGGCTGCATGCGGCCCCCAGAGAGGCCTTCATCACGGTCCCCTCCGACACTCCCACATGTCATTCATTTAGCTGTCCTACAAAACCGTGTGGCTAGACGCTGTGCGTGCGCAGGTGACCCTGATGCTGTCCCTCTCTGGGCTGCTCTGTCACCCACATTGACGTGTTCTAATAAGTCAGTGGCCCCTGAAAGCAGAAGCTTCCTTGCAGGTAGGATGTCCCTGGTGCGGGGGACACACAACCCTGTAGTTTCTCGTTTATAACCACAAGGTGTCCATCACTCTCGCAGGACCTCGGGGCCCTGAAAATTCCCGATCAGTACCGCATGACCATCTGGAGGGGCCTGCAGGACCTGAAGCAGAGTCACGACTGCGGGCAGCAGCTGCTCCGCTCCAGCAGCAATGCGGCCACCATCTCCATCGGTGGCTCTGGCGAGCTTCAGCGGCAGCGGGTCATGGAAGCTGTACATTTCCGCGTACGCCACACCATCACTATCCCTAACCGCGGAGGCCCAGGTGGGGTGGCGGGCCCGGACGAGTGGGCAGACTTTGGTTTTGACCTGCCTGACTGCAAGTCTCGGAAGCAACCCATCAAAGAGGAATTCACGGAGACAGAGAGCCACTGAGGGCCGTGCCTTCTCCTTCCTCGGTGAGAAACGGCCCTTGGAAGCAGGACCTCTCACCTGTACCCACGGAAACAGCAAGGGTCTTTTGCCAGACGCCATTTCCGACGGAATGACACTCATGAACTGCTCGTAGGAAACTTCTGGAACTGCCCTACCTACATGGACACGAACGAGGCAGGTTGTGGGCCAAAGGCTGAGACAGGGGCTGTCCCTTTGTGGGTGGGTAAGCCAGCACCCACTCTCTATGCCCGTTCTTTCTTGAGGACTCTGCCATCTCCAGGACAGAGCGAGAGCCTTCTCTCACCCTCTGCCACAAAGTATTCCAGCGTCTTATAGTTCCTGCTAGCTGTGAGCAGCCCGGCCACCGTAGCTTCTGCAGGTTGATTCCAAACCGTGTCTTGAAGGTGAAGTCCGGAGAAGCCTCTGTAGGATGTGGGGATGGATCCTGTCCTGTATGTATGCCATTCTGCTTGTCCCCAAATCTCCTGCCCAGAACAAAGTCAGAGTCCAGGGGAGGCTGGAGGACCAGAGGAAGCTTCTGGCATCAGCCCTCAGCCAGCACCCAAAACACGCTGGCCACAGCCTCTCTGCGGACCCATCTCAGCAGCCAGAGGGACAGGGGGAGTCTCAGACTATTGAAAATTGAATTGTCAATATTTGATAAAATGTTACTCTTTCTATTTGATGGGTCAGCTTGCTTTCTTCCCCCAACCCCCACCACTCTAACTTTCCCAGCATTCCTTTCTGCTATCAACCTAGTGCATTCCTGGCTTTTCCATACGCTGTTGTCAGCAAGCCTAGGAAAACCGAGTGTCTGTTGCCAGGATGGTTGGATGGGACAGTCAGAGAAAGCACAACTGTGGGAGGGCAGGTCAAAGTCCAGCTGTGAGAAGAACATCTATCCTGGCCAGCCTGAATTCTGTCTCATCCCCATGAGGGGAACCGGGGCAGCTGCTGGGGGCCTCAGCCTTCATGGTGTACCCCAAGGACAGAGTGGGCTTGGAGAGACAGCTCCTGCTTGTACTCGGCCAATGGGGCTCTCTGCCTGCCAGAAACTGTGAAATCCTGCAGCGAGAACCCTGGCAGTTCCTGCCAGGAAGTGGAGGACCACAGAGGAGCCCCTGCTGCCATAAAGCCTGATGCGCTGCCCAGACTCTGTGCAGCCGGCCATTCTCCTTAGGCCTGGCTTTCGTCAGCATGGCCCAACAGAGGCAGTGAAGCCCATGGGATGGCAGTACAGTCAGCACCACCAGGACTGGCTTCCTATTGGGCTGCCTCCTGGAAACACAGGAGCAGATACTGCCAATCTTAGCGGGCTCTGCAAACTCAGGCGGCTATCACCCACTCCACGCTTTGTGGGACTCTGAGGGGCAGGGTTTGGGTGCACTCAGGGTGGGTGCTGGCACCAGGTTGCCAGAGATCAGTTGATCATGTAGGCTCTTCCAACTGGACAGATGTTGACAGCTTAGCCTCGGGGAGGGGGGGTTCTAAGCAGGACTGCACCCAGATGGCCCACAGCAGCAGCCACCACTGGTTTAGAACATCCTGGGTGCAGGCTGTGGCCATCCTGCCATACACTAACACACCTCACAAAGTGAGGACAAGTATACCCTTCTTGTTGCACAGATGAGCAAACCGAGGCTAGACAGACTGTGTTGCCTGCTCATGGCGTCAGGTCACGGTAGAGGTGGGTGATCATTCCCGAGGCACACACAGCCCTATGCTACCTCAGGAATAGGGATAGCATAGCATATCATACTGTATCCTCACTCCTGGCTCTGTGAGCCCCATTGAGATGTGCTTGAGTTCTGGGGTCTCACATGAATATGTCTCAGGCATTGTCCAGAAGGGGCCATCCTAAACGCCCCCACCTCATGCTCCTGGGAAGGGTTAGGAGGACTTATTTAATGGTGGCTGTCAACAGGAAAGACCCCATCTCCAGTGAGGACCCAGAGCTATGTGTCTCCCAGACCCTGCCCCAAGTGCCAAAGCTGCCTCAAGAGCCTTCGGGATCTTGCTACGCTTGGAGGGAACCGCCAAGGACCATCTCCAGAAAATAAATGTCACAGAAGCAAGCCTTGTCGTGACTGAGGACACAAGTAGCTCTCCAGGAACCAGCCTTGGGGTCCAAAATAAACTCTGTTCCGCAAAACACAGAGAGCGAGAGAAAGCCAATCTTCCAGTCACCAGGATTCCCGGGAGCGCTGAAGCGGCAGACTGGGAGTGAGTTTGGGGGTGACCTGGAAACAGCTGTTGAGCAATTGTGGGTACCTCGAGGCTGGACAAGCAGCCATGCCACACATCAGCCTGTGTGGTCCCAGGGAGCTCCGAGCCTCCAGCTAACGGCTCTCATGGTTCTTCTGCTCTGCTTGCCCCATCTGACAGCTCTGGCTTGGGCTGCTTTGAGGTCACTGCATTGAGCTTGCAGCGCCAGCCCTGGACCCCCGTGTGAGAATCCTGCAAGGGTCCAAAGTTGCTACTCAGAACAATGTTTCAGACAGGAGACAAAAACCAAAACCAAACTGTCCATTTCCAATGTAACGACATGGTTCTCCAGGCAGTATTGATGGATGTAGTCCAATGACGCTATTCACTGTTTTGGGTAATGTCATCTTAGAAAAATGTGTTATTTTTTTAGCTGTGTTTTGGTGGGAATTTTTGTTTTTGTAATATAATAAAAAAAACCACATGTTCCCGTGACTGGCTCTTATGACTAACCTCTCCCTCAGGCTTGTGAGGAGCATCATAGGAGGTGAGAGCCAAGCACAGGCAGAAGTGTGTGCACCTGAATGGGCCCAGCAGCACCCGCTGAATATCTGGATCTTTCCTGCAATTGTGCATCTGCCCTGCAGGCTGGAAAGGGGATATCTGGGGACATCTCAGACACCTAGGTGATGTGGAGCCTGCATACTCACCTCAGCAGGACTTACAGGGAGGAGTACACCTCTCCTGTCAGCTCTACTTAGCCTTCGCCATCACTCAGGCCTCTTTGTGGTCCTCAGACTTCTTGATTTTCAGCCTGTGGACGTGTCTTAGCAAAAATAAGGCTCTAAAAACCTACTCTGCTTTGAGGGAAGTTCGAGTCTTCTAAGAGTTGAATGAAATTTAGAACAAGATAAGAAAGGCTGAGGCAAGATGGAGAGGGGCCCACGTTCCTCCTCACCTCCCGCAACTGCTGCCGCAGGAACAGCACAGTTCTAGAGTCTCCGTGCTGGATGCCTTGCCGGTGAGGGGGGCAAGATAAGGATGAGACGGTACAGGGTGAAGCCAAGTGAGGCCAAGTGAGGCACAGCGCTCAGGTGAGGCCAGGTGAGGCACCACGCTCTGGCTGTGACCCAAACACCACTGTGTGTTTGACACTTGTTCACTCAACACTCTTTATTCAATGACCTGGTTATTCCCTTCCCGATCCCTCGTTCGTCCCCAGGGTCTGTAGCACCCCTTCTGGGTGAGTTCAGCCTTCATCTAAAAAGCTTTTGGGGACCTGAGTCAAGGGAGCCAGCGCCCATACCACCAGATCTCATGACTTAGTGTGATAACCTATTACACACCGTGAGGGCCCCAGAATTTAGGATAGACCTTCAGCTTCTCTGTGGTCTCTCACTCATACGCCTAATGAAGAGGGTTTACTATGATCAGGGGATCTGATGCTTGGGTGAATTTTAGGAGGTCTGAGGCCCGTATCATCTCAGGGGTCCAAACTAACAGCTTTCTCTGGTTCCCTGAAGGCCTCATAGAAGGGTTTAGCTATTTGGCTGAACTAGATAGAGAATCCAAATTCAGCAAAAATCTTGCTGTCCCCGAGAGGGTCTGTGGTTATTATTCTTGTGACTGGAGTCTCTGTAGTTAAAATGAGATTATTAATGTATGAATCATTATACAGTCTAGCTGGTCCCAAGACCTATGCCTTTTGTGAAAACATTTGAGCCTTTGAAAGAGAACCCTTTAATCTACGTGAGTTGTTTCTGGAGAGTTATGATGGCATCTAACAATGTATGTATAGAACACAGCTAATTCCAGGGTGAAATTTAGGGAATGGCAGGTCTCTTGCTAGGGTCTGTCCATAAAGTCAGGGGCTAGCCTAAAAGCCCTGAGGTAAGAGAGTCTCCAGGAACTGCTAAACAACCTGGAGAGAGGAGTTCCACCATTACAGAAAAAATAGGAGCTGAGAGTCTGAGTGGGCAGGAATATGAAAGAGTGGCTCTCTCTAGATCTAAAGTGTGACAGGAGGTGCTGGCAGGCGCCTTCCCCAAGAGGGTATAAGGATTGGGACATACAAGGCAAATTGAGAGCATAGCCTCATGTACGGTCCTGGACCCTTCTGTCGGATCCATCTGACGTCCTTACTGTTGAAGTGGAGGTGTTTTATGGGGTGTGGCAGGAATACAGATGCCCACTAGCCAGGAATCCAACAAGAGAGGCTGTCAGCCTTTCTGTGCTTCAAGCTTTAGGATATTGGGATTTTCCAGGAAATTTGTTAAAGACCTTAAGAGCTGTTGCTTCTTTTAGTGAACACCCAAGAATGGTGGTATACCAGATGGCAGAGGGAGCTTGTCTGGTGACATAGAAACATATAGGGAGGGTCCTTGCGTACTAGATGGCTCCAGGCAACTTCAGGACAGGGGACTGAAGAATTTCATAAGAGCTTCTAGACTCACAAGATGCCTTAACTGGACTTGACATTTAGATATGATATGCTGCTAAGGAAGGGAAGGGGGTGGGTTGGACCAGAAAGGTATGAGTGAAAACGCATTGTTCTATCCTACCCTAAGATGGGTGTCAGTCAGGCTGGTTGGGGCTTCATCAGTATCACTGAGGAGGGCTGGGGACCAGAGGATCAAACCAGAAATGGTCAGGGTGGAAAAACCACTCCATACCAATGAGGATTGGAATCTCAGTCTCTGCACATCTGGGGTTAGTGAAGGTTCATAAACCATGTAGCCTCAGGCTCACAGAGAGGGCGACCTCCTTCCTCAGTGGGCTGCTCACACAACAGGCACAACCTGAAGAGCATTTACCTAGTTCCGTTGTTGACTTGAGTCCGATGACCTTGGGAGAAGGCTGGCTGCACCGTGACTGTCCTCTGAGGCAAACCTGCACCATCTTCAGGAGTTCAACTGAGCCTGCTTACTCAACCTCATTTCATCTGGGCTTGTTGGCTCTTGGCCATCCTTCTTGGAGGAGGAGATGGAGAGTATCATGGAACTCTCATCTCCGTATCCAGCTACCCTCCCAACCAGTTGTATGCAATTCTGATCAAAATTGCATGTGACCTCTTAGTATCACGGAAGAACTAGAGCGCCATCTACACAGCCACAGGGAAGCCATCATCCCCGGTGGGTGCAGACCTTCACCCACGCTCCCACCCACAGTCCCTCAATTGCTCTGTAAGCCTAATGTGCTCTTCGGTCCCCTCTGCCAGTGAACTTTCCTGGACCCACTCCCTAGTTTATGGTTGAGACCATAGGAGGAGCAGGAAATGTTCTTGTCTCCCCCGGAAGAAATTTTAGCCACATTGGCTTTCCCCCAGGGAAGAGGAGAGGCATTTTCACTTCCAATTTGTCTCTACGTTGCAGTCTGGATGTGAGTCTAGGAGAGGCTTGTACCCTGGTGGCTTTGGGCAATAACAGTTGAAGTATATTCTAGCGGACCCAGTTAGCTGGAAAAGACTCACCCCCAG